TTTCAGTACAAATCGGCAATTTCATACTTTAACCCCTATTATTATGATGTTTTCCTACTATGATATTCAATTATTTTTTGTGAAGTTACTCCACTGGTTTGTTTAATTGTTAATATCAAGCTCGAACACAAAGAAAATGTCCTTCGATCGGACAGGATTCGAACCTGTGACCGTTTTACTAATATCGGGCAACGGCAAAGTAAAGGTACCTCGTCGAGTGAATTTTTTTTTATAGATTCTCACAGGTGGCTTCACGGCAAAAAGCCGTTAAAAACCAAAAAACAAAGATCTGTAACAAACTTAATTCATGGGGTCTGCTGACTCGATTTGTAGCTGAGTTGGTAGAGCGGTTGCTTTTTTTTTGTGTTCAATTTATGTTTATTATATATAATCAAATTTTTCACCAGATCTATCGAGGCGATGGACCAACTGTTCGAAGTAAACTTTTCGTCATTGAAAGCGAGTGGAAAGGCACTGTCGCGATGCGGCAAATGCAGGCGTTACATGCGGTATATTCAGGTAAACAAGATTGTCTTTATTGATTTGTAATGTAAAGTTGTAAGAAAGAGAATAACATTGATTTTCAAAAATAATTAAAAACTGACAAAAGATTGCGAATTTGCACCATCTTGCGGATTTTTAAAGAATTAAGTCATTCCACTGGCGAAAAGGACACTTTAGTTTTAATATAAGGGTCCAAAAGCATGTAAAGGCTTTATAAGGCTTCGTAAGCTTTTAAACACAAATTGTGTTCAGTCTTGCTTTAATGTTTCTATTGTTTGCCTTGTAGGCTAAACCAGCTCGTCTTCATTGTTCCCACTGCGACGACACGTACGGTCTACCTCAGAATGGGACAGTCCGCATATATCGTGAACTCAAATGTCCATTGGACGATTTTGAACTGCTCTCCTGGTCATCCGGGAACAAAGGCAAGAGCTTCCCTCTTTGCCCTTATTGCTATAATCATCCACCGTTCAGGTACGTACTTATAAAAAATTGTACTAAAACATTAACATTTAGATTTTTAATGGTGGTCTTTCGGGGGACACAAAAGAGCGTTTTATTACTACAAATAGATCGGTATATAAACAAAAAATACGTGTCAAACTTCTTAATAAATAAATAAATAAACTTACTAAATTGCCTTCGTGGTCGAACGGTTACCATGCTAGACTGCCGCACAGAGGTCCCGAGAGAGGTTCGTTTTCAGGACGGGGAAATATTCGTACGGCCTACATTTATTTCTCTCGCGAGTTTGGGTGTAATTTGTGGTTGTCTATCTACGTATGTGTCCATGGCACCCGATACAGGGTTACCCTAGTACCGGGCTATGAGTGTGCGCTATATTTATATACTTTAATATTCATTGTAGAACTGTATTAACAGATTTATTAAAATGGATCTGAAAAAATGTTTACGATCCCTGACGGTTTTACAGTTGACAATTGTTTATTTTCATTGTTTGACCGCAAGCTCATCGCCGAGTAATAATAGCATTACTTTTATTACATTATTATTTGTAGGTGACTATTTGCAAATTTTCTGCTTATGACCATAAGCGTGGCTCTGCAGGGATATGAAGAAGGGGTTCGGGTGCAACTCGTGTACGCATCCTACGTGTCCCTACGGTGTGAACTCTACGGGCGTGTCGGGTTGCGTGGAATGTGATGCCGGCGTGCTAGTGCTCGACCCCGCCGCACCGCGGTGGAAGCTCGCCTGCAACCGGTAAGTGTACTATTTATTACCTATGTATACATCCTTAATTACTACGGTGGCTCAGTGACCCAAAGTAGATCTTGGCCTCCGACACCAGATTCTGCCACTCGTCCCGGTCCTGAGCCTGCTCCTTCCAGCCTCCTGTGTTCTGTGTAGTGTAAGTATTCTACACAGAAAGAAATTTAATTTCATAATTTTTTACTTCTATTGACCAACGTTTTTTATTGTATACGTCGGTATATCTGATGGAAGTTGCTCGAAAACATGGTAAAATTTTTAATTCGAATTGTTCCACTCTCCACCCTTTGGTCAGAAGAGACCTATCGTCGGGAATAGTGCAAATCCGCGTTTGTAGCATTGGTAAAAGGCGCGTATCTGCAGTAAAACAAATTTGACAGGAGAGGGATTTAAAATTATTACTTTGTTATTTCAATGGCTACAACTTTCATTTTTACACAGTAAGCATTAATTTATCTTGTCTATGGACTGATAACAATACATTTCCGTAAATCACGCTAATTTGCTTGCCACTATTACGCGGATTTGATTTGGCCACTAAATAACCGAATAAAATATAAATTACCGAAATGGAAACTCTTAATCCAATGCTAGTTACGCGTAATTGCACTATCACCGACTCTATGTCTAGCACTTTTATGTTATTTAGCGCATAGTTCTGGCCAGAGATGTAACTTAACTATTTACTACTTTGTTATAATTTATTGTTATAATTATTAATACAAAGATCGAACACTCCCATTTACTACTTGTTAACTGTTTAAATCAGGGTTTAAATCAAGTTAAGACCCATTAACGCCTAAAGTCGAAGGCAAAAACTATTTACAACTAAATATTTGTTGTACATCGAGTTTTGTTCAAATTCAATGATATTACAAAGTGTTCATTGCTTTCTGATCTAGACGATTCGATTTGCCTTTCCATTGAATGGATTCGCTTGAAAATCGCATTGAAATATATCGATATAAAAAATCGTTAAATCGTATGCACTAGAATCGATCTTCATAAAATTCGAATCGTAAGTGCGTCCTTAGTAGTGAGAATCCACAGGATTGCAAGGTACCCAACTTGCAATCCTGTCATTGTGTGGAGTTACCTCTTTTTCGTCTATAAAAGATTTTTTACATCGAAATTTGTAATAAGTATGGAATTATACCAATTTCCATATTCGCCGTTTATGCCCACGATTAAATGGGTTAAAACCCGGCTGTCGCGAATTACGCGATAATCAATTATTCAGTGAGTAAACGAACTTCACCCATTTTTTGGTATTGTGGTAACACTGCTTTGCCTTTGCTAACTTGGTACTTTGACACTATCGAGACGGTAGTAACGTCAACGGCAATGGTAGGAACGGAGTGCACTTCAGTTTGGTTAAAACTAGAGATATGGCTGTGTAAGTGAAAGTACCCTAAGAGACAAACGACTGGTAAGTTCCTCTATGTACTGTTTAACATTACTACATGCATAGACACGGTGGAAAGACACACAACTAAGTTAATTGCCGAGTTTAATATTGTAACGATACATGTTCTATGAGTATCAATTTGCCACGTGCTGTCTCGACCCGTAGTAGACTAGCCTCATTGACGCTTATGACTGTGGGTGCCTATCGTTGGCATCAATCGGGTCGGTAGTAGCTGGCATGTGCACCGCGATTACTAGCTATCGAAGCTTAAATTCTGTTGCTATTGAAGCTTAAAACTGCCTCCGTGGCCGAACGGTTACCATGCCGGACTGCCACGCTGAGGTCCTAGGTTCGATTCCCGGGCCGGGAGAAATATTTGTATGGCCTACATTTATTTCTCTCGTGAGTTTGGGTGTGATTTGTGGTTGTCTATGTGTGTGCCCATGGCACCCGCGACACAGGGTTTCTCTAGAGCGGGGCTATGTTGAGTGTGTGCGTTATTATGTTATTATTATTATTATTATGTTGAGCAGTGGTTGTACTAAAGGGGAGGTTTTCCCGCCCCAGTACTAAGGCGAGATATGCTGGGAGTTTATACGCGACATACGAGGCACACCTCTACGGTTCCTCGTCATAGCACAATGTAGTGTTATAAACATTTTTATCATGGTTCAGTGTCTTTCTACCCGCTTATATGTATGCCTATAAATTAAGTATCTTTTGTCGTCTCTCAATGAGGTGCCTAGGTATTACAGTCTGGTCTAAATGCAATAAACTACAAAGTGGCGACACCGGTACTTTAGGTAAAGGCCCGTTTAAAACTCGGAGGAGTTGATTGGATTCTCACCCACTGCCCATCTCTGGCCCTGGCACAATACGGCTTAAAATTGAACCTCAATCAACAAAATTCCCAATTAGAAAAAAGAGAGCGAGAGAGTGTTTTATTTTTAATTCCGTCTATATTGTTTAGATGTGACGTCATAATCAACATCTTCGAAGACGCGGCGCGCGTGTCGGTTTGCGAGCAGCAATGCAGTGCATGTGGTGCGCAATTAGTCACTGTCGAATACCGCGCTGAGAGAACTCGACTTCCTGCAGCTCTTACAGAGATGACGGCTTGTCTGTATTGTGAGCCCGCTTTTAGTGCCTTGGTGAGTAAGAACTTTGTGACATTGCTAAGTGTTGTGACATCACGCGATTTGGGCCTCATCATCATCATTATAATAGCCTGACTTCACCTACTGCTGGGTATAAGCCTCCCAAGTTTTTGTGCCACTTCCCACTGAATCTGGGCCTTAAGTCTGCTAATTTAAAATCATGTCTGTTGTGTGTCGATAGAGTGCCAATGGCAGAAATTTTGTATTTTTTTGTTCTGCTAAAACTGACTTGTCTGGAGCTGCCATTCAAAAAAGCCTTTGCACTTTTTTGGTATTTCTGCTTTTTAATGGCGTCGATCGTACGTTGATGACGTAGTCTACTAAATATATGGCATAAAGAATTAATGACAAAATTGCTGATTAAATGAGATAAAAATTAAGATATTCATATTTCCATGGTAGTTTTAGAAACGCAACATCGATCGTCAGTGATTGAATGAATGCCTTTGCACTGACATTCTATTTTGACTCAACCGCCGCCCGTTGCAACCGGATTTTAGCAGAATAGCAAATATTGTCGTTATTGCATACCAGTAGTTAAAAAAAATAGCAGATTGGGATCTTTTTTGTTCACGACTTTTTTTATACTACTAAGTGACGGGACGGACAAGTCGTGTGCCCGGTGGTAAGTGACACGCCTGTCCCTAACAGTTGCAGTGCCACTCGGAGCTTTTAATCACAAAGATTGAGGGACGCTGCCACTGCACCCGAAACCCTGAGACGTAAGTTGACAAGTCTCATGTGCTTTCCTACGACTTCGATAATGATGAGTGACTGATAGTGCTTATATAATAATTTTATTTCCACAAATTATAGAAGTAGAAATGAGACAAAACTTTCGAATTGTAAAAAAATATGACATTGTTGAATTTTATTGTGGAGCAGGGTTAGCAATTGGCTGTCTCTTACACCATACTCCGTCCAAGCTAACATAGCAATAGTAGTAACAATGTAGCTAACATTAGAATGACACATGTCGATCTCGCTGAACCAGTGATGGGACTAGATCAGTGAAATCGAGAATAGAGGTTAACTTTTTTCGACTGAACTGTGACTTATTTTAAATCAGTGTTATAATCATGGTAATGACTGAAATCAACTCATTTAATTAATAGTAAACTAACTAAACTTTAGAAATGTGTTAACTAAACGGCAGGTAGTTGACTACCTGGTATTTCAGGTTTTCATTTTTCCCACGTGCTATTTATAATCCTACCCATTATCTTTTGTACTTAACCGGTATATTTATTGAATCAGCTTTACAAATGAATTATGTACAGGGTCAAGAGCACGTCAAGCTTGATACTTAAGGTTTAAATCCAACTCTATGCCTCTTACGATAAGACCGGTCCAAAGTACAAAGCGTAAAGCTTGACGTGCTCTTGACTGTACCTACTGTCACTACGGGATAAAAGGTTAACATGTGTAAATTTACTATTGAATACTATCTACTTTATCTCGCGGGATGTCTTTAAGAATCATAATTCTGGATCAATCTAGATGGCAGACGACATTGCAGTGCTGCCAACTTAAAAAACCCAAACAATTGTTATTAAAAATACTCATGCACTCCACATAGATTTTATTGCTAGTTCGATTTTATGAAATTTTATTGTATTGTTAATTTTCAGTTTAATTTATATTAGTGTAACTGAGAATAGCTAAATAATTGTATGTTAATAACACTAGATACAAATCACTAAACATACAAAGTTTAGCCGAAAATAACACGAAGTAGCTCGAAATAACACGAGTAAATGAAAAACAATTAAAATAACAAACGTAACATTTTTAAAATTACCGCTACCCATTGCTCGACTGGATGAGTTAATCAACTTTATGTTTTCGATGTGTCCCACAGACATATATCTAGATAGACGCCGCAAGTAGAGCAATTTGCATGAAAACCAAGCGTGCCACATTTTTTGTACCCACTATGACGTCACAAGAGCTGTTTAATGATGGGAAACCTCCTTCCGCTCTAAATCGAACCGTTCAATCGGAATACGCGTATTCCATTCAATTAATCGATTCTAAATAGAATAATTTTTGTTCAAGTATTTGTTGATTATAAGTAGTCCTAAGTCGTAATATTAATATAGTAGAAAAATACTAGAATAAGATAAAATATTACTTGTATTTAAAAAATGTTGATTACTTAAAAAAATTAAGACTTTAATTTTTAATCGAATATTAAAATTATTGTCCTTCCAATAAAATTAGCTTATTATGTAACATCTTGTTGTAATAGAAGATTTTATCGATTAATTTAAATAATGAAAACGCACGTTAATATATGACCTTGCGACTGCCTTAATTAATTTTACTAGATGGTTTTCTGTTGGTAATTGATCAAATTGATGAATGGCAAGATGAATGAAAATGTTACTGCTGACAAAATATGGTGAAATCTTACTAATCAGAAGAGGTTTACTTAATGACGGCCTTGTGTGACATTTTTGTGATTTGTTTATTATTTCTCGGATTTCTAACTCTGCTACTCTGCATATTTGGATAGCATCTTAGGTGGGATAAACTAGATCATCTTCATCCTCGAAAGCAACGAACTCATACGTATGATCAACTCCAGGTTTTTGTAAAGACAGCACACTGTTACATTCTTTGCATTTTATATTTTTTGTATTACTCGTACTACATATCCGGCGATGTATGTAATTATTTGCTCACTATATTCGGACATTCGAGGCAACTTGCTGCAAAAATTATCGATATTACAGATACTACTGATATTATAGATACTATAAAAGTGAAAAAAAAAAACGAGGCGTTACTAACCTTTATAACAAAAAGTTATAGAATACTTTTATAATCTTGCTGAGGTAATAATAATTTTTGTCCCTTTGTTTTCAAAATTGATCAGAATCGAGAACACTGTTGCCTAACGTATATATCACGAAATGTCTAATTTGGCCAAAAAATGTACAAGCGGCCGTAACACAAAACTGAATGCATTATACAAAAGTTCGATATTCATGGCTTATTAACAAAGGATCACGAATATATCGCATCAAGTAAAAGCTGCAATGTGTTACAAATCATGGGGCATGCACTCGCTTGCATATTTGATTTCTCGAAATTCATACAAAATCAGAATAATTATTATTAAAATAAATTATGCATCTTCTGATTACAAAATCACTTGCCTTTGGAAGGAAACGCCCCTGTTTACTCGATTACCCACAGTTATGGTGCTTTTGCAGTTTATAATGGCACAATTATGCATTTTTCGCGTTTTCGACTGGTGTTTTTCTACGATAACGGTCGAGCGCGTGAGCACGCGAAGTACGTACACTTGCGGCGTCTATCTAGATATGTCTGTGACACATCACAGACATCATCACAGACATATCTACGGACACACATATGGGACACATGGGACACATGGGACATATGGGACACATCCCATCACTAATATTTCTTCCATGAGACGTAATTTCATCGTGACGGTTGTGAAAATAAATGTCAATAATATTGTTAGTGTAATTAATTCCAAAAGTGATTTTTCAATGATTTGTGAATTTTAATGATGTATGTTAATGACTGGTAACGTAAATATGTAAAATATTTAAACATTTATTATTGTTTTGTCGTGTTAAAAACAAAAAAAGGTAGGACGCTGCTACAAATTTTCGTCGTCCGAATTTTGCCCATCTGTCATTCTAATCAAACGAGATTGGACGGAGTATGGGTAAACCTGTACCTTGATACAATTATAGTCTGACCGTTTAGCCACGCGGTGTCCCTAACGATTTTGGTACTGTAGCGGGCTAGAGCCACAGCGAGTCTCTAACTCGTAGCTGTGTTTTCATCAACGCATGGACACCGCGTGGCTGTAGGAAGCATTGTCAATTGTTTTTTTCGAAATTCTTCCACGGACCGCTTCTGTTTGAAACAAGAATAATCTACGCGCGTCAGTTGGTTGAGTTTTTTTAATTTAATCCAAATAAGCCAAAACACATTGCAGCTGCCGTATCTGAGCGAAAGCAAATGTACTATGTTAACTAGTCAAGATGAAAGGACATCGGTCAAAGATGAGTGATTATCCGTCAGGTGGAGAAGCACCGTGCAGTAGCGTCGCGTGCGCCGGCGGGCCGAGGCCGCGGCGGCCGCGCGCGCGCTGCTAAGCACCGCAACAAGCAACCCAAGGACAAAATGGCGCAGCTGGCTGCTTATTTCGTCTAGTCTCTACTAATCTGCCAGTGTTCACTACTGATATTTATACGCTAATGAATCTGGTTGCTACTCGTTGCGGTTTCAAATCCGATGCGCCGTCAAATCAGTTTAGAAAATGTTTTTTTCTGTACTTGGTTCTGGTCTGGGTCTAGAACCAAAAGTGCCACCGAGTTTTGTGAGTTTGGTATACATAGTTTAGAAAGAACCCTAGATTGAGCCCTGGTACTTAGATTGTTTTACTAAATGAATTGTCTACTGGTAGATGTTTCTAAGTTTTATAAGAGATTTCATACACTTAGTATGAAAACCAATTTTTTTTATTCTCAATTCGCGAAAAATATGTCATTTGTACCATACTATATGCTCATTCAAATTCACTAGAATAAAATTACTCTAGTGAATTTGAATGGGCATACTGTGCAAAACAGTTCATTTTTTTTCTGCTCTTATACTTGTGGAATGTTTTTCCCGTAACTCCCAACTTTAACGTAAATGAAGAACATTCGCGAAAATAGATATTTTTTTGTCTTGCCTCTGGTAACCGACTTTGGCATTGCTAAAGTATTAGTTATCTCTATATTTATTTTATCTTTATCTCTCTCGCGTAACGCCAATTTTGAGAGTATATTGACAGTGTGGCGTTATTTTCGAAAGGTCTAGGGGAAGCTTGATATTAATACCTTAGCCAAACAGCTATCATTAAAAAAAATGTGTTTTTAATTATTTGATTTTGTTTTAGGCTCTAATCAAAATCATTATAAAGCATTTTGTGAAAGTCCTGTCTCTATAGAACTTTGATTTAGAAAGTTCCTGCATTTACATTTTTATATTTATGTTTACTAACTCAACCCACATTAGGTTTTAGATATGCGTAAATGTAGTAAGTTTTATCATTAAGATCATAATCTTGCATCCACTACTCCCGATTCTAATGTAACAAAATGTTACAGTTTATAATATTATTTTATCGAGTTCTTAGGTTTTCGCGATTGTTACACATAGGAAATGAAACTATTTTTCCGGATTTAAATCGTGTATATTTGTTTTTTCAAAAAACCGACGTTTCGGGCCCTTTACAGGTCCCATGGTCACGGTTGACTGAGGTGGTACAGTCTTCAACCAGTTATGTCTAATATTGATGCAAACCACCCTATTTTTTCACTATAGTTATTAATTAAATACCTTATTTTTAATTTTGCAAAGAAAACATTCCAAACGTCGGTTTCTTTGAAAAAACAAATATACGCGATTTAAATCCGGAAAAATAGTTTCATTTCCAATATTATTTTAATTCATTATTTCAATAGATGTATATTAATACCAAATTAATGTAAATATATAAAAAAAATATAAATGGACTTTTTTTATGATGATTATATTTCGTATCAACAGCGGTAAGTAATGTTATTTTGATTAACTATTTTGTAGTGCTATTTTACGCTCGGTTCTGTTTACTTACAATATTAATATAACATCGTTATTGTGGCTACTACAGTTATATTTGCTGCAATGTTATTGATTATTTTGTTTGTATTTTTGCTGCTTTTTTGTAAATTCTGAAACATGATTCATAGCATGTGCACCACTCTATTATTATTCCTTGTAAAGGTAAATTATTTCCTATAATTTAACACAAAGATGGAATTAAAGAGAGAAAAATTCCTAAAACCTTTCAGAACCCGAACTTGTGACCACGCGAAAATAGGGCGATCTGCCATTTGAGCTTAAGATTGAGCCAGCAGATCTTGCGAATTCCTCTATGTGTTTGTCATAGATCTTTGTACCCGGCTTTTTTCAGCTTTTTAACGCCGTAAACTGTAACGCCCTAAGGTAAATTATTTACCACCTTTACGATTACGAGAGTATTGCTTGACGGGAGGACCAGTGAGAGATTTGTTGAAGCTTTTTAAGATACACGGAGGATGTTTATGGTCCCTATATGTGGAGCTTTCAACCTCCATTACGTGGATCGGGGATGATTTCATCGCTCCCAAAATAACACGAAGACGTAAACTGTATATTGTCCCAATAACTAATAACTAATAACAGATTTATTACAGGGCTCTAATAAAAATGACGCGTAATCAAAATTACTCTTTGTTACAGCATTATACAACAATTCTTGAATGTAAGGATGGGCTCCCCACCATACACCACAAAGAGCTCTAAAGATATTCATACTCGAGTTCTTAGGTTTTCGCGATTGTTACACATAGGAAATGACACTATTTTTCTGGATTTAAATCGCGTATTTTTGTTTTTTCACAGAATCCGCCGTTTCGGGCCCTTTACAGGTCCCATGGCAACATCAGTCAACCGTGACCATGGGACCTATAAAGAACCTGAAACGTCGGTTTGTTTGAAAAAACAAATATACGCGATTTAAATCCGGAAAAATAGTTTCGTTTCCTAGATATTCATACTTTTATAATACTTATTATTAATATATATTAGTTGACGGATTCCGGTGGAGCTTGGAGAGTGTAGTGGGAAAATATGAGATTGAGAGGTTGAGGGAGAACACAGGGGCGCTGCAAAAGATCGAGATGTCATAGGGCGAGCGCTGTCAGCAAAAAATTTCCGAACAGTCCGGAATCGAAGGAATGTCTCTGAGTATGTGATGTTTTCAGTTGAATAACAACTTTAATCGATGTCTGTCTAGTCTGTTCCGGTCAAGAGAGATCCGTGGCCATATGGTGGCCACAACAAAATAAACACGTTGGTATAGGGAGGCACTACAAGAATCTCCAGTATGTGGTTGACTGCATTTGAAACATCTGAGATTTGATGTGCATTGAGCTTTCACATGCCCAAAACGGCAGCAATTGTTGCATTGAATAGTTGGTAGTGTATAGATTTCGTCAGGAAGGGATATGTGATAACAGAAAACTCTTTCAGGGAGCTCTTTGCCAAGGAAAGAGATCATCACTTCATTGTTGTTTGTTATGTATATGTCGTGGCCATATCGTAGATTTGCTCATTTCATGAAATGCTTTAGTATTTCAAGGGGGCGCCAAATTCCAAGAATATTTTTAAAAGTTCCATGGCTACTTCTGCAGCTTTCTTCGATTTTAGTGGTCTGAGGTGTAAAAATGTTGTTGCATGATCTTGATAATTCATCAGCCATTTAAATTCTCCATCCGGGGCAGACTGTAAATCGATCAAATCCACCTGTCCTCGTGTGTTAAAATCCTTGGACACTATCGGCTGAGTTACTATACCTTTCCTTAGTACTGCACGTTTCTTCTCACAAACAGAGCACAGATCAACAAATAGCTCAATAGGTTTCTTTGGAATATAAAGCCTATTTTTAACCCTACGTCAGTCGCAACCTTTTTGGACCTTGGTTCGGTCGCAATGTGGAAAATATGCACATAAATTCAAATTGGCATAGCTCCCTTTTCCTTTAAATATCTGCAACCCCACTCCACCCCAACCTTCACTAGGATTTAGACTAAGGGATAATAACTTAAATATTGAAAAAAAAAGTTTTTTAATCAACATAAACACAGTATGTATAACATAACCGTTTTTTTACTCTCCACCAAAGATCTTTCAGCATATAAAGTAAATGGTGGCCTTAACCTTAAAATTAAGCACTAAAAATCACTAAGTCTTTTCTTAGACATCCTATTACACAAATTAATCCTCAGAATCGCTGGATTGGGGGACCTCAGAAGAAGTTTGGACTACAACAAGTTTGCACTCTTCGCAGATCTGTTTAGAGTGTTTAGTACAGATGGCCTTCGAGCAACGCACACATCTCAACACAGTCATCCTCCTAAAACCCACCTCAAGTGTACAGGGTTCACATCTACGCCTCTTTAGAAGCGGGGCATCCGCATCAGCATCAGCAGCAGATGCTTTGTTGGGGTTAAACTTCCGGAGACGGATCTGGAGGCTGTTGGGAATTCCAAGCGTTTTCTGGCTCCTTCTCTGCAGCTCTGGGAGTGTAAGCTCATGGGCCAACTTTTTGAGGAATACCCTCCTACGCATTGGCTCAAGCTCATTGCCAAGATAGATGATGAGGGAGTTGATTCCGGCTACATTCATCATCGCGTAAAATATTACCATGGGCCAACGCTTGTTGTTTCGGGATACATCATAAGTTGAGCACATTTGATCTGCAGTATCCACTCCACCTTTTGTGGAGTTGTAGTATGTAATTATTTCAGGCTTGTTTGACTGTCCAGATGAGGGATCAAGGGCGTGGTCATTATGAAGTGTAGAAATGAGCATTACATTTTTTCGCTCTTTGGGAATGTATGAGACCAGAGTTTTCCCGTCACTGAACCCAAACATGCTGGAGTACTGCTTCCTTCCTATAACAGACACAAATGTTGGAGGCAACTGTCTCTTGTTCTTCCTTATAGTGCCAACATATGTTAGCTTTTCCTTTTTGAGCCAATCAACAAGCTCCAAGTCGGTAAACCAGTTGTCGGCTGTGATGTTTCGCCCAGATCCTCGTAACGGCTGAACCATTCGTTTCACCACATCAGGTGGTTTATTGCTTATTCTGAAAGGCCCTTCAGGCTGTAGGCCAGCATAAACTTCCAGGTTGTAGGTGTAGGTCATTTTTGAATCTACAAGAGCGAAAAGTTTGATCCCGTACTTGTTCGGTTTTGAAGGGATATACTGCCGGAAAGGGCAGCGTCCTCTGAAACCTGGCAGCATTTCGTCTATGGTGACGTTCTCTCCCAAGCAATAGCTCTTCTGACAATTCTCCACAAACATTTCAAATATTTCACGGATTGGACAGAGGCGGTTTCCTTTGAGTTCTGGTGTCACGATCGTCAAACCGAAGGCACCTGATCAAGGTTTTGAAGCGTCGGAGGCTCATGACGAGGCTAAATTTTTCAATGCCATCGTTTTCACGACCCCAGAGCTCTTCCAAGTTTTGACGATTTCCTTTGAAAGCCCCTGCAAGATACAATAAACCAAGAAACGCCTTGATTTCAATCAAATCAGTTTCCCTAATGTCCCTTGATCGAGAAAATTTATCTTTGACACTGTCGATATATTTATTGGTGTGTTTGACAAGCATTTCAAGTACGGAGTAACTAAACAAGTTACTCCAACACTCAACTGGAGTTCTGGCCTGTCTGGCTGCCTGTATGACACCAGGAAGGCGGGTTATGATATTTTCAGGCCCCCTGCGTTTGACAATATTCGGTGGCTTCCTGGTCCACTTGGTCGTCTTATCTTTCCCTAATACAAAAGGAGCACCTTCTTCTTCAGTGTCATAATCCTCTTCATCTTCAGATTTATCAGAACACTCCTGTTCAGTTACCGTGTCACCCTCGTTCTCTTCAATTCCATCTTCCGAAGCAACGTCGCTTTCTTCGCCCAAATCTTCTGTTTGTGCCGAATCATCATCATCTTTGACTGCCAAAAGGTTTCTTATTTCCTCGATATCCGAGTCGTTGCTTAAATCGAGTCTCCTCTTCGCCATTTTATCGGAAAATCTAAAACAAAATATCAAATGAAAAATTATTTGAATAAATTATTTTCGCCACGAGTTCGGTCGCAATGTGCAAATTATGCACACCTCATAAAACACATTATTTTTCAAAAATGCAATAAACTGACCACATAAACTGATTATACGTATCATACAGAGAAGGATGCAAGGTTAAAAAAGCTCAAATTCTTACCTCAAAAAGTGTCACGAGTTCGGTCGCAATGTGTAATTTTTGCACTATCGTCTAGCACCGCTCGCAGTGAAAGTGTGACGTCTACTGCTGTGAGGCGTTCGAAAGCCCCCCGCGAGGGAGGAAGGTACTGAGATGAGGGAATTCCCCGCCGTGTTTAAACAGTATTGCCAACCGAAAAACTTTGGGAGTGCATTTTTTGCACAGTTGCGACCGACGCAGGGTTAATGTGTTGAATCATTTTTAGTCGTCCACCATGTCCAACAGTTTTATGAACTTCCTTTAATATTTCAAAATACTTCTCCACTGGAATTATTCGAATAGTAGGATCGTCTACGCATTTTTTCTTGAATATAAGGTATTCCTCGTCCGCTGTTTCCATAATGTCGTATTTTGACAGCCAGTAATAATCCATGGACTTCTTTTGCGTAGTCACCCTACTCTCCTTAATTTGGTTTATAACCTAAAAAGAAAAACAAAACAATCTTTATAATGTCATAATTAACAAACTTAGAATAATATCAATTAAATGGAAATACAATATACGTTAGCTAGGATAGAGTAATTTAATAAAATAAATGAATAATGAAGTAATTTAACAGTAAACTACTAACCTGTAAAATCCGAACCGAAGTCCAAGGTTTTTTTACATTTTGCTCAGTTTTTGCGTGACTTGCATAGTACTCCAGAACCTTTTCGTCGTATAATCTTTTGTCGTCACTTTCTTCTTCACTTAACAACGAATTATTATTTTTTTCTCTGCGAGAAACAACATTATCGTCCGCGGCCGCCATCTTCACACATAAACAAAGCGCTTACAGCGCCTCTACCGGTAATTCATGTAACTATTTTACGATATGATCAAAATAATCTTGAATACTTTATGAAATTGTCGCGCTTTTAGTTGACCACATCGAGAAACGATTTTTATCATTGATCTGCCCAAACCATATCATGATGTGGCCAATAGACAGTCAAACATTTCATGAAATGCGACCATTTCATGAAATACTAAAGCATTTCATGAAATGAGCAAATCTACGATATGGCCACGACATATAAATTGTTTAAGGTATGTAGGTAGGTAAGTCTGGCGTTAATGACTTGGAAGCCGCCAGGGCATTCGATGGACTTGACAAGTTCTTTCATAGTCCAATCAACAGGAATATTCCCGACAATGCCAGTTACAATCAAGTTAAAAGCCGGGATAACTGCCTTACATGAATTGTTGGTGAAGAGAGACGCATCAATATTGTTGGTAGAAATTGCACTTCACACACAAAAAAACAACAACCCAATTGCACCCTGTAGCTTTAAAACCATCTTTCACAAACCCACATTATACCATTGTTACTCAGGAACTTGGCAAACTCCACCTTCAGTTGTGGGATTGGACTCTTCTCGCGATACACGAAATAAGGGCCTTCGTCAGATTCATTATATTATAACCTCAAACCGTCAGCGAATTCAGATAAGCAGAGCTAATGTTAGCCAGTCGCATTTGGGGGAACATTTGAATAACGCTTCTTTGGTTGCACCGGTGTCGTTTAGGACAAGGATGATTGATCATTAACACGTTTTTTAGGTCTGGATGTATCGTTTTAGATGGGAAATTGGACTAGAACTATTTGAAAATCAAGAGGATTATTGTCGTCCATCACCCAAACAAAATTAGTAACAAAATTAATTTATATATTTTGTAAGTATTGATGTTCAGATCAGAAATTGTCACAGATTTACCTGGCTCACAATTAATTTTTTTGTTTCGTTTCACTTTGCATCGGTTTTGGCGCTCTCGTTTCTTTCAAGTAATCCACCAGTGCTTGATCGATTCCATACGACAATATTTCTTCTTGCATTTCTGGGATCTTCTTCAGGACTTCTTGTGGATTCATTGGATAAATTCCTGATGCTTTAAACCCACTTTTTATGTTCTTAGTTTCTCTCAGTTGAATGACATCAATCAATTCTCCAAGCAATTTCGGGAAATGTTTGTTGTTCAATGTTGTTTGGTTTGGATTACGGAGCTGTGCTGATATAAAATTTTACGCCAGGCTTTTTTCAAATGTGCGAAAAATGCCACGTCTAGGATCTGGATGAGGTGTGTCGACCGTGCAGCGATTAAAACAAATTTAATGTTATTTTTTTCACATAACTCTACAACTTTGACACTTAAATGACTACATAAATTATCGCAAATAACCACTTTAGGCCCTGAATTCTTTTGTGCCGATGGAAAAATTACTGTTTCAAAGTAATTCTCAAACTTGGCGCTGTCAAACTATCCTGATTTAGTGCAATGTATCTGGTCTCTGGTGGTCCTCCATTCCCCCATTTCCATTCTGAGTATAAATTTGTTGCTTTATAGACAACATATAAAAGAACTTGCGGTGGCTGTAAACATGAGAGAAATGTTTCCTTTGGTGGAATTGGCTATTCTCTCCGGATACTTAACCCGGATAAACCCGGATCGTCTGACAGGTTGGTCTCATCAAAGTTAATTATATTTTCTGGTGGTATGTCCTTTAAAGTTGTCCTTAAATTTTCAAAGTAGATGGCTATTTCTTGAGGGCCTTTTTCAGCTCTTGGCTTTGAAATATTTTGAGTGGTTCTTAGTGTCAATTCATGAGCATACCTAGCCAAATATCCTTGGACCTAGATATCTCCGGGAATTTGATTTTTTAATTTATAAGATCGAGAATTCTTTTTTAAATGCTCGTGAATCAATAGTTTTAGATCCAATTTAGTGAGCGAGGAGCCAAAATCACTAGAAGCCTGCAAGACTCTTTCAACTTGTTTCTCGTCTACATCTGACAAAAAAGTGGGATGTCCAACAGACTTCATATGTTTGTTTTTTTTATTTTATTCTCTATTATACGTCTTGATATTCCGAACAGTTTTTGAGCATCTTGAAGAAAGTTCGTTTGATTTAACAGCTTCGCATGCAAGTTTTAGCATTTTTTCGGAATAAGTTTTGTTTCGTTCTACATCCCATTTCTCGTATGGATTTTCTTTGTCGAATTCGAGATTTGTTTTTTTTTTTCTAAAATAAGTAATTATTAATGAATTTAAAAATATTGTATTGAAATGTAGCTATAACTTCATAATTTTTAATGATATAAGACAATTATAAAAAGTTTTTCAAGAAAGTTGCAATTTTACGAAGATTAATTACGTCAACGAAAAATAATTAAGATTTTTTTACCTGCCTACTTAAATATTTTAATAAAAAATAATAATAATGTGTCGACCCT